ACTTTTTTTCGAGTACCATCGCGGCAGCGGCACCCTTTTTGGAAATTCGTCGCGGCGCGGGAGAAAAAAATTTGTTTAAAAATCATCGCGGTGCGGCAGCGGCAGATTTCGAGCCGCGATGGACATCTCTGTTTGGAAGCCATCAAAATATATTGAAACTTCATTGGCCAGCAATTAACTCATCAGAGGAATTCGGCCTTGAGATTTGTTTAAAATGATTTCTTTAAAATCATTGCTCTTTGCAATTTAGACTTATGATGTGACCAATCTATAGAAAAAATTTTTCTCTTACGACCTACGCAAAGGCGACATTTCTAGTTTGTTGAATTTGAGAGTCATAAAATTCTTTCTGAGACCTCCGGCTGCAGCCAATTGACCTATGATCGTCCACCACAAAAACTAAACAGGACTATTTTCCGGTATTAAGTTTATTAGTGGTATTAGTTTTTAGGTTTGAAATGATCTGCCACTTTTATTTCAATATTTCTGAAATGTCGACTCCTCCGTTACATTGAGGTTAGGTGCGGGTATGGGTGTCGGTGAAGAGAAGACGAACATTTGCATCCTTCAGTCAACGTTCCACATGCCGAAAATTCTTTAGAGAGAATGATGGTCGTTTTCAGATTTCTGCGAAAGCAAACGACTTTGGCAGGATATTATCATATTATAGGAGCATCGCTCCTGTAAAGGTAGTAGACAGAAGTTTTTATTGGCTACAAGACGAAAAAAAAGTATCTATAATGGATGAATCATTCAGCAATGAATGACTTCATCATCCTGTTTTGTAATAGAAGTTACTCTATGTTGGAAAACGGCAGTACTGTTCCGATTTCTCTAGAAATAAGATTTTATAAGCTGTTCTTACATGGTATTATAAAAAATCGAACGAAGTCTCCTGAAACTAATTTTATATTGCTACCATGAAACATGATTGACTTAAGCAAAAAAAATAAACAATATGAGAATCTTTTCTACCAAGCTCATTACATACTCGATAGAGTATCTAAATAGTCTACATAACATGTGTAGAAAACGAGATAAGCACTGATAACAATGGGAGAAACTTCGTTCCAACTCAAACAAAGTCAACAAAGCGCATTTTCACGTGTTAAAATATGTGCTACATACATTCTGAAAGCGAAGTTTTATTCTGAAAAACGAAGTGTGTTTTAAGACAATTATTTCCATCAAGCTGGCTTTTAAGAAAATAAAAATAGGTTCTTTTATCTTTTTTCAAGAGCAAAAAAGCCCCATTTTCACACATTCTTTTTAACCTGTGAAAATAAGTCCTTGTCTCAATGCAGATGAGAGTGCGATTAACAAAGATATTCACTTCGACTAGTTTTGGACTAGTTCACTCTTTTAAAATTGAAACTGTTACATACGTAGTAGAAAGAATAGTGTATAATATATGATATTAGTAGTGATTCAGGCGAACATCAGTAAGAAATTAGTAAGCGGGAAAAACTGTTTTGGTTGTGGATGCAAATGTGGATCACACCCACAGTCGACAAAAGATGTCAAAAGTTCGAAAATAGTGCAGAATGTTAATCTAGTCTAAGCACAGTTATCTATGTCATTTCGCGATTCTACATTGTTTTTTTTTCTTTCCCAAAAATATATTTCCTCTAACATATGGATATTATATTCCTAATATCAACATAAAATGTCTTTATCAAAAAAAAAGACAACAATGTTTTTTTTCTTTTATTATACTCATACAGTATCTTTCGACATATTGGTATCACACTTGAGATTCGTATTTTTCGACTGAATTCAGATATACCATAACTAATTAGTCATTTTAACCAGCTTGACATTTGAGGAGAAGAAAAAATTTGTGCTGATCAGATAGAGAATATCTGAATATGTAGGAAATTAACTTTAAGATTTGGTTTTTGTTATCATAAATTTCAAAGTTCAGAAAAGTATCAGAAAACGATTACATTGTTCTTGTTATTGAGGCTCATCTTCAGTTGAGACAGCGCCTCAAAATTCTGGCTAGTGGTTATTTGCACATTATTTTGTATAAAATTCAACTGTAAATCTTTTCGGAGTAGAATTACTTCGATAGAGTTTGGAAAAGAGAAGAAATCACAAAGATACGAAGAGAGTGTAATTTTTCTTCTGACACTTTAAAAATACTAAGTTGATACCTTTTGTTCGCGCGGAAAGAGACCACACATACATGCGCCTCAGTGCATGTTTGTCGTTAGCAAGTATTGATAGACGAAAGAATGACATGTGTTGTAAAGAAATCTTTCCTTCGCAACACGTTGTGATAAAATTTTTCTCTCTTTCTCCATGCGACACACGACGAATGTGTATGTAGTGTTGTTTCTCTTGGGTAGAAAGAAATATATCACTTTCGGTTCGAGCTGTCTTGGTCATTGAAACACCCAATGAGAATGTTGTCATCTAATTATCGACTATCTCGACAATCAAGTCCTTGACTGACAAGACTATCCCAAAATGTTGAAATTAGAGAAATTTCACTATATATTCGGATTTTTATTTAAGATCAAGAACAAACTTAAGGTTGCTTTCGAACTCCTCTCTCCTGGGAACAAATATCTGAAGTGGATATGATTGCTATGAATTTTTTTTTTCGTTACGGTAGATCCCTCCTCAACATTATTTTTAATATACATGTTTATTTCAGATAAATGTCGAAAGAATATGAAGCAGCTAAATACAATATAAAAAATAACGAATTAAGTTCGTTAGTGATTTTCTACTAAAATTAAATAGATATTATCTAACTCTTTTGTTTTTCAGTTACTTCTACTCGTTTGGAAGATCTTTCAAATGAATTGATCTATGAAATATTTAATTATTTTGAAAGTTGGAAAATCTATGAAATATTTTTTCAATTGAATATTCGATTTCAACATTTATTCACTAGTCCAGTTTTTCGTCTCGAAATTAATTTACCATCAATATCAAAGACGAATTTTCTTCGTCGATGTGAAGAACTTGTAAAACCGAATATTAATCGAATTGTGTTACTTTCTCTATCGAATTATTGTGCCATTGATATCTTTCTCAAATTATTCTCGATTCATTCATTTATTCATCTTGAAAGACTCATTCTCGATGATGTAACATCGAACAATCTTCTCGTTCGACTGCTCAATTCTCTCGTATCACTACCACGTCTCTTTAAACTTTCTATTACTTTATCAAGTTATTATGTAGATGAAAATATTGTACTTCAATGTATTTTTCGTTTGCCTATAATCAAATATTGTAAATTAACATTTGATGGAAATCTCGATTGTATATGTTTACCATGTGCTCATGATAAAAATTGTCAATGTCAAACACTTAAACATCTGATTATCGATGGTGATTTTTGTCTCAATCAACTTACTCCAATTTTAACGTATACGCCTCAATTGACATATTTATCTTGTCGATTTCAATCAGGATTTGATTATAAAACAAGTGAACAATTGCTTTTGCCATTTCATTCGAGATAATATAATCATTTGGAGGATCATGTTTGAAAATTAAATACTTAAAATCAAACATG